TCAGAGGCCATCACCTGCTGCCTTCCAGGGAAGCTGGAGCCGGGTGTTGAGCCCTAGGACCCTAACCTGGACTACAGGGGCCTTAACCCCTGGGCTGAATGCCCGCCCCATGCAGAACCGGAAGAAGCTCCTGGCTCCTGGCTTCAGCCTGGCCCAGCTCCAGCCCAGCAGCCATTTGGAGAGAGAACCAGTGGATGGGAGGTCTCTCTCCCCCTCACTGTCTCCCTCTCCCTCTCTAACCGCTTTTCAAAGAAGTAAATAGATAAATCTTTAAAGAAAGAAAATTAGTATGTGGGGGTGTTTTGAAGTAATTTCAGACTTAAAGCTGCAAACAGTAGAAATATTTTCCACATATCCTTCACGCAGATTTGGCAGCTGTAAGCATTTTGCTGTATCTGCTTTATCATTTTCTCTCTCTCTCTCTCTCTCTCTCTCTCTCTCTCTCAAAGATTTTATTTATTTATTTGAGAGGTAGAGTTACAGAGATAGGGAGAAAAAGAGAGAGAGGTCTTCCATCCTCTGGTTCACTCCCCAAATGGCTGCAACAGCTGGAGCTGGGCCAATCCGAAGCCAGGATCTTCTTCCAGGTCTCCCACACAGGTGCAGGGGCCCAGCACTTGGGCCATCTTCCACTGCTTTCCCAGGCCACAGCAGAGAGCTGGATCCGGGACTTGAACTGGCACCCATATGGGATTTTGGTGCCACAGGCTTAGCCCACTACACCACAGCGCTGACTCCTATCATTTTCTCTTAATCACTACACTCTCAATAACTATTTATGACCCACTTAAGAGTACATCATATACGGGGCCAGTGCTGTGGTGTAGCGGGTAAAGCTGCCCTCTGCAGTGCCGGCATCCCATTTGGGTGCTGGTTCTAGTCCTGGCTGCTCCACTTCTGATCCAGCTCTCTGCTATGGCCTGGGAGAGCAGTAGAAGATGGCCCAAGTCCTTGGCCCCTGCATCTGTGTGGGAGACCTGGAAGAAGCTCCTGGCTTCATATAGGCATAGCTCTGGCCATTGTGGCCAATTGGGGAGTGAATCAGCGAATGGAAGACCTCTCTCTGCCTTATTTTCTCTATGTAACTCTAACTTTCAAATAAAAAAGGCGTCGAGTTTCATCCGTGGTCACCTTTTACGACTGTCATGTTTCTTTTGCGTCTCCTTTCATCTGAAACACTTTTTTGATCTGCTTTTCATATGTTGACCTTCTTTAAGGGTAAGACAATTTTTAAAGCCGCTCTCAATTTCGACCTGTACGCGGGCTGCTGTGCCCTCAGCGAGTCGGTGCTGGGGCGTGAGTTCAGGTTGAGCCGTTCCCATGGCGCTACCTTGGTTACCTGGTTAAGGTGCCGTCTGCCAGCTGTCGCCACTGGGAAGCAGTGATTTCTCCCTTTCTGGGAGAGACTTTGAGACCGCGAATGCCCCGTTCCCTGTCAGGTTGCGTTTTTGATTCTTGCTGGAATGACTGTGGCCGCAGGGTTGGCCACGCTCGCTGCCGCGGTCTGCGTGCTCCCGGGGAGGAGCTGCTCACACGCCAGCCGCAATCCAAGGCCATCGCTCGTGTGCTTGGTGCTGGCTTCTGTGTCCTTTGCCCTCGCCCCAGCCTTCTTTGAGTCCTTCCTTCGACACAGGATGTGCCACGCTCATCATCTACGACCCTTTCCTAGTCAGGGAATTAGCCACTTCCCCAAGGAGCCCTGGCACCTCCTAGTGGGGAAAGCCCAATCTGGCAGTGGGTGCCCGCACTGCCACTGGGGGTGCCACGTCCAGGCTGCTGTCTCCACGGGCAGCGGGGAGGTGTGTGTGTGTGTGTGTGTGTGTGTGTGTGTAGGTACGGACGCACATCTCTATCTGCAAACGCCGTGGTGCACTGACACCTGCCAGGAGCTCTGTGTGTGTCTCCAGTTGCAGTCTAACACCTGCGATCCACATGGACCGTTTTGCTTCCCGTATTCGTAATTCCCTTGTCTGACAGTGAGACACCGGCTCCCCCGCCCTCAGCACGTCCCCTTCATCCTTCAGTCCTAGGATACAGCGAAGTGGCTTCGTAGTAGCTGATGCCACCATGAGGCCAGGCTGTCTACGGTGCAGCGGTGGTTAAGAGATAGAGCCCAACGTTAAAAACACCCAGGCCCAAGCTTATTCATTGTAGCGGGCCGTGTAACTTGGACTGCCTCCTCTGCGAGTGCATTTCTCTTTTTCCTGTTATGGCTGTCACAGTAGTAACCGTAACGCTTCTTTGAAGTACGTTTGCTGTGTTGGAATTCCTAGTTTGACCGCTGGGGTTTGTGTCTTGTACGTGAAGTCTGGGGGCACCCTGGTGTGGGAACCTCGGCTCGTGCGTGGTCCTGGCTCCCCAGGGCGATCCCGGTCTCCTCACCAACGCGGCTCTCAATGCCCCAGCCAAGCGAGGGGTCCCAGGACCAACTAAGAACTCGCAGGGGGTTGGAGGAATGCAGGAGGCAGCCGAGAGGATCCACCCGGGAGCTGTTGAGTCTGGGTTTTAGTTAACCAGTTAATCCCAGGTGCTCGAGCCACGTGGCTGAATTCCGGATCCCTCTCTGGACGTGCCTCGGCTGCGTCACACTCACACCCTGCCCATCGAGTCCTGACACCTTGGAGTTTTCCCAGGTGCGTTCTGCGGGTTTCTCCGCACAGATCAGCAACGTCTCGCACGCTCGCCTGGTTCTTAGTCACTCCTGCCTCGGTGTGAACGGGTGCTGGTTACGTCTGCACGTACCTCCTCCTCCCTCGGACTTGCTGCGTGGTCCCCTCTGCAGTGTTGCTCTCAGATTGTAGCTGTGGGTGTGGAGACAGGCTTGGCAGGGCGGTTCTGCCCAGGGGAGCCTGCCAGAGCAGCAGGTGGCTCAGAGGCCAAGGGGCTGTGCCAGTCAGAGGGTGGAGGAGTGTGTGCTGCCGCTGCTGCTGGGACAGCCCGAGGATTGGTGGGCAGAAGGGCCTCACGTTTGTTGGCTCTACCCAAACGTGCCCATCCCCCCACTGGTGCCTTCGGCTTCACTGGAGAGAATCAGCGAGGCCGTGAATGCAACCTAACGTCGAAACTGCAAGCTGCACAGAGCTACGTGTTGGGCCTGGGTTGCAGCCACAAGAGCTAAGAGGCTTTTGCCTTACCCCTAGAAGGTGAAGCGCTGAGCCGGGCTTTCCCTCTTGTGAGCACCTGTTCCTCTCGCTGTCGCTCTCTGCCCATCGAGTGCAAGCTGCCTCAGAGCCCTTGGAGCCTGGACTTCGGTGGCTGCTTGCACGCCCACCCACGAGAGCCACGGCGTGCCTGCTGTCACCACCGTCCCCTTTCCCTGGCAGCGAGGTCCTCACTGTGTCCAAGCTCGGAGCATGACCCCCCCCCCCAAGCCACGTGATTCCTGCCAGGCGGCATCGCGGGGACCACGGCAGGTGTTTCACACGGAAGAGAGTGAACGCAGGGATTTGTTAGGAGGTTGGAAGGCCGATGGGACACTGCCCTGCCGGCCCCGGAGATGCGACCTGAAGTCTGATGGAAGAGTCAGCATCTCCCCTCCCACCGTCTGTCTCCTCGCCCTGGGTGTCTCCCACCGGCAGGTGCCCCCAGGACCCGACTGAGTGTGAGCTCACGGGGTTAAACGTGGGCAAAACGACGAGAGAACGGACCAACTGCGAGCGCCTGTGACTGCCATCCCATAATAGAAGCGAACGCATCACTGCTGCAGGCAGCCACGCCAGCGAACCTCACAGCCAGCCCGGGGCGGCGGGAGTCCACGGACGCGCCCACGCGGGACTCCGTCTGTTAGAAGCACTACGGCAGACAAGGCTGTAAAGACAGCCGCACTCCAGGCATCCCGCCTGGGGCTGGGGGCGCCCGGGGCCCCTCTGGTGCTCTCCAAACGGTCTCTGCTGATCTGGGCGACGCTGACGCAGGGGGAGGCGTGAGCCTGCGTCGACCTGAAAGCGTACGATTTGTGCCCTCCACAGTACACATGTAATTCCTCAGAGCAAAAAAAAAATTGGTGCTAAGAAGAAATTAAAAGTGGTGGGTGGAGGGGAGGCTGATCCCAGCTGGACCTGGACAGATGTGAGGCAGGCACGGAATGAGCAAAGAGACTGCCTCCTGGGAGCAGGGACAGCCGTGTAAAGGCCCTGGGGTAGGATCCGGTGCGGGATGTGGGAGAAGCCTAGCATGGCCGGTGGACTGGAACGTGGGGAGCAGGAGTCGGGGTAGGATGAGCCCTTAGCTTGGCTTTTTGTTCTAAGCTGTGGGAAGCAGGGGCGTTGGCAGTGCTTTCTGAGGGGCTGGAGTGGGGAGTGAGGGAAAGAGGTCTTTGCCAACTTCTCTATGTGACGAGGACATCTGGGAGGCGGGGGACCAGGAGGCAGGGGAGTCGAGCTGTGCCGTGGCCCTGACACCCACCGGTGCGCTGTCAGATCTCACACGCACCACAGGGCTGTCGGGGAGACAGTGGGCGGGGTATGCGCATGGGATTCCAAGGCTCAGGACCAGAAGGGAGCCCAGGAGGGGACACGATGACACGGGCCGCCAGGGCATTTCATTGGAAACGGCCGTGAAAGTGCTGCTGTGGCCAGCTCCGCCGGGCGCCCGCTCCTGGCTGGGCGTGGGGAGTCCATAGGGACCACTGCTGAGCCCCTGGGCTCCCGGAAGCCTGGGCCGAGGCACTGAAATGCAGATTCCTGGGCCAGGCCCACAGCCACGGAAACAGGAGGCATCCGCATTTTCCAAGTGCCCTGCGCAGTTCTTTGCACACAGAAGTTGGAAAACCTCTCACTTCGGTGGCTCAGGAGTCTGGGAGGGGTGTGTGTGAGAGAGAGAGAGAGAGAGCGAGCGAGCAGTTTCCTCCTCTCTCTGGGTGGGGCTGCTCCTGAGGTCAGGAAGGCAGGTCTGGTCTGGGCGTGTGTGCGCGCGCGTGCATGTGTGTGTGTGTGCGCGCACGGGGGGCGGGCACCGTGTCCCAGGAGGACAGAGTTTGCATTGATGAAAACCCTTCCCAGCACTTTGATGCCTCTCGCCCGCCGGCCCGAGCGCAGCAGCTCAGCCCTCTGCTTCCCGCCCGGCCGGCCGCCCGCAGCGCTCGCTCCCAGCCAGGATGGCCGCCTGTCTGGCCCTGCGCATGGCGCTGCTGCTCCTCTCCGGGGTCCTGGCCCCCGTGGTGCGCACAGGTAAGAGTGCAGGGCCCTGAGCTCCCACGGCCAGGTTGTCCCAGACCCTCTGGGATGGGAGGGAGCCCTCACTGGAGATGGGACGGCCACCGGGCCCATCCTGCCCAGAGCTGCCCTGGGCACAGGCAGCAGCAGCTGCGCAGGGTGGCTGGGAGGGCCGCCTGGGGAGCAGCGCTGGGGCCGCTTAGCTGGCCGGGGCCGGGGGCTTACGCTAGGGTCTCAAATCTGAGAGCTTCCAGGTCTGGCCCCGGCTGGCCTTGGGTACAGAGGGGGCGCGGTCGCCTCGGCCGGCTGCAGGTGACCCACGCTTTGGGGGCTGTCAGTGGATCTGCCCAGGAAGGAGGTGACTTCGGTGACAATCGCGTGCCCTGGGTGGGCTGCTGGGGGTGCGGGCTGCCGGGGACCCCCAGCCTCTCACACCTGCAGGCCTGCTGGCCTCTCCCGGGCCGCCCCAGGTGGATGCTGGTGGCCTTGCTCCTGGCTGGGCCCGGTGTCGTAGCTCTGTGCACAGCGGAGCTTACAGGGTGGCCAGGCATCCAGCGAGCAGCAGTGGCTGTCGGGGGCACAGCACACATATTCTGCGTCCCAAGCCCCAGGCGGCCTTGGGGCAGAACCAGCTCGTAGAAGGGGGCGCGGGGGTGACCTGACATGCCGGGTGGCATCTTCCCACCCCAGCAAAACCACCGCTCCCGTCTGGTGCTCCGAGCCAGTGCAGGTGAGCCGCGGGCTCCCGTCCGCGTGCACACTCAGGTGCACCCGGCCCTCACAGCGTGGCTGCCAGAGGCCCCTGGAGCCGACTGCCACACAACGTGGGTGGGTGGGTGGGCTGGGCCTGCCGCCACAGGACGCTCTGGGGACAGGCAGGACCTCGCCTGGCCTCAGGTCCCTCTTCCACAAGTCCTCCCAAGAGCAGGGGACCCGAGCACACCAGGCCTCCGCCCGGAGCCTTCAGAGTCCAGGCTGTTGTGACTGGGCGGTACCCAGCCCCCCACTGCTCGGAGCAGGTGTGTGCAAGGCCCCGCAGGCCCCCTGCCCTGCGCCCACGGGCGAGGGCCCCGTAGCAGTCAGGAGGGGACGGAGCAGGCTGTGGGCTGAGGCCCGGGCCCGCCCGCTGGCCTCCCTGCCAGGCCCGGTGGCCACAGCCCTCGGGAGGGGAGCAGGCCAGGTGGGGCGGGCGCCAGGCCAGGGCACGCATGAAAAGGCCCTTCATGGGCCGCACAAAGACCGTCTGTGAGCGCGGGCGCCTGGCCTCGGGGCCCGTGGGCAGCCTGCGAGTTAAACAAACTTATTTACCAAAAGGCTGGGTGGCTGGGACTGGGCAGATCCCACGGTGCCCAGGCCTGTGGCGGTGCCACCAGGTCCCTGCTTCCCTGGATCACCCTGGCCGGAGCACGGGGGTGCACTCTGGTCCATGGAGACTGGGCCTCATCGCAGCCTGGGGAGGGCGGTGCCTTCTCTGGGGGGTCCCCACCCTCCCTGGTCGTCACCCTGGCCCCTGGCCATCCACCTGAGCTGCACGAGGGCCACACTCCTGCCTGGCCCCTCCGCCTGGCCTGCTGCTCCCCACCCTTACTCCGACGAGCTGGCAAACCGGCCGGCAGCCCCTCTGTCCATGGCCTCCCAGGAGGGGTTGGGGGGAGTGGACTGTTGCCATCAGCTTTGTTATGCTTCTTGCTATGGCAAGTTTAAAAATCCAGGGGAACCCAGCACGAGGCAGCTCCTCGGCCCAGCCCGCCACCTGCGGATCCAGGGAGCCTTGGGCCCGCCCTCGATAATCTCCCACGGCAGCCAGCGGGGCAGTCCATGGAGCCACTTGGCTTGTGTCCACGCGTGTCCTTGGGCCAGAGGGGCCCATCTGGGTTACTTCCTGTGTGCAGAGGGGGTTCACACTGTGCCAGGACGGGGAGCTGGGGGCCAGGTCAGCCTGCTGGGGCCCCGGTGTGAGAGCAGGCTGGAGCTCAGATAGGTCCCAGTCCTTCTGATGGGGGGACCACGGTGTGTGGTGCCCGGCAGGGGTGTGCTCTGGCATGGGGTGTCTGGGGCGGGGAGAGGGCAGGGCTTCCTGGGGGCAGCAGAGAGGAGGGGGCACGCACGTGCGCTCCCAGCTGCCCCCCTCCACCCTGGGAGTGCTCACTGCTCTCCCAGAGGCTCCCGGCACCTTCCGGGCTACCTGGGCCCCTACCCAGAAGGCCTGGGCAGCCTCCCTGGCCCGGTGCCCGGCCTCAGAGGTGAGCTCTGACCGCTGGCAGTGGTGGGACAGGGAGGTGCCTGCCTGCCGGCCGGTCTTCAGTGTGTGGTAAGCACACGGCGCCAGAAGTTTGTCCTTTCTCGGGGCAGACGGGGCTCCGCGAGCCCCAGACCCTGGGGCCTGCCAAGTGCCAGGCACACTCCCGCCTTTTCTCTGCCCATCCCCCGGGAGCCTGAGGCCAGTGGGCCTGGGGGCTGGGCCTGGAGCCCTTCCTGGAATCCTGGAGGCCACAGACCCCAGCTCTCCCTGGCTGCAACACAGGAGGCCCGGCTGGGTCCCTCCCGCCTCTCAAGGGTGGTCTTCCGGGCTGGGGGGAGGCTGGGTGGTGGCCAGACCCCAGTGCTGCAGTTGGGCCTTGGCCCTGTAAGACCAAGGCCTCCCCGAGTGAGCACCAGTGGGCTTTCTGCTCGGGGGGCTGGGGTGGGGGTCCTTGCCAGGGCTCTTTGCTGGAAGGGGGATCTGTCCGGGGCAGGCCTGGGGAATGGGACAGTGGTCCCCGCCTGGCGCAGGCTTGCAAGAGGCCATGGGTAGGGCTGGTAACATTGCATCGTGACAAGATCTTCCATTAATAGATAACTTTAAGAAATAATACAGTGAGCCTGCACCGCCCCTTTGTGGGATTTCCCTGCTGCCCACACCGCCAGCTCTGTCCACACTGCTTCCCTCCCACGGCCGGGGTCGCGCGCACCGCTTCCCCAGGGGTCTCCCGGCTGTCAACACTGCGTACACCCCACACACTGCTTCCCCCCGGGGCCTCCTGGCTGCGGGCGCCCGCACCCCGCTTCCCCCTGCGTCTGGGTCTCCCGCTGCTGGCACCGCGCACACGGCTCCCCCCAGGTCTCCCGGCTGCCGGTGCCACGCGCACCCCGCACCCCGCTTCCCCCCTGGGCTTCCTGGCTGTGGGCGCCCGCACCCCGCTTCCCCCTGCATCTGGGTCTCCCGGCGGCCGGCACCGCGCACACCGTGCACACGGCTTCCCCCAGGTCTCCTGGCGGCCGGCACCATGCGCACCACTTCCCTCTTGCTCGGCTGTGGCGCGTGGCTCCCTCTCTCCGTGTGAATGCTGACCATTTGAGGGTGAATGTCAGGCATCACGTGCCTTTGCCCATACATCCTAAGAACAAGGACATTTTCTCACACAACCGGAGGCCACCGTCACAGCCGGGGAATGCAGGCTGGCGCAGGACTGAGCTGCAGCCTTGTACAGAGGCCCAGCCACTCGTCTCACAGCCTGCCCTACACGGAGCCGCCTTGAGCAGAACCCCAAAAGACCCTTGTCTTCTCCCAGCAGCCCGCTCTGGGCGCTGGTGCAGCTGGGAGCAGCACCATCTGCTCGCTTCTGTGCCTGCCCCCCAGCCCGGGATGGCCCGGGGGGTGCGCCCAGGGATGGAGCCCCAGGGCCTGCCGGCGGTGTTAACAGAGCCACAGCCTCCCCTGCCATGGCCGGGGCAGCACAGCCCGTTCCCGCGTTGTCCGAGGGCTGGAGGCCACACCAGCACTTCCCACCGCGGCCCACCTTAGCCTAACCTGAGCCCCGGGGCGGCTTCCAGTCCCTGAAACAGGGTTGCACAGTTCCCGTGCCACAGAGCCCCTGCAGGCGGTGAGGTGCTGGGGTGCTGCCTGCAAAGCCTATCCTAGGGACCTGCTCAGGGGCTGGGCCCTGGCCTTGCGGAAGCCATGGTGTCCGTGGCTGGGCTGGGGCTTGGCTGGGCCTCTCCTCTCTGCCCCCACCGCAGTGCCCCCCCCTGCCCCGTGAAGGCTGACCTGGCCTATGCCCCCACGGTCCACAGCTCAGATCGGGGAGGCCCCGGGGTTTGGGCCCTTGTTCCTCTGTCTCTTCCCAGGGCCTGTGGGTGCCCCAGCTGCCTCCCGCTCCGGCCCTGTGCAGGCAGCCTGGCCCGGGAGGGGCTCTGGGGAGACAGACACGCGGTCCTCCTGCACCAAACTGGCCTCCCGGGGTCACTAGGGGTTAACGGGGGCCACACCCTCCTCTGCCCTTGGCCTTGCAGCTGAGGGTCCACAGGAGCCCGACCCCACCCTGTGGAACGAGCCTGCCGAGCTGCCGTCGGGAGAAGGCCCCGCGGAGAGCACCAGCACCGGCCAGGAGCCCGCGGCCACGGGCCCTCCGTTGCCCACCGCCGCGCCGGGCCCCGAGGACAGCACGGCTGGGGAGCGGCTGGACCAGGGCGGCGGTATGCGCTCGGGCGGGGGTGGGCGCCGGGGGCGCCGGGGCGGGGGCGCGGGCGGCCCCGGCGGCTGACGTACCCTGTCCCCCTCCCCCGCAGGCTCGCTGGGGCCCGGCGCCATCGCCGCCATCGTGATCGCCGCCCTGCTGGCCACCTGCGTGGTGCTGGCGCTCGTGGTCGTGGCGCTGAGAAAGTTTTCCGCCTCCTGAAGCCAATAAAGGGGCCGCGCCGGCCGCGGCGCGACTCGCAGCACCCTCGTGCGCCCGTGTGTCTGCGCCTACGGCCGGGGCCCCTGCCCAGGGACCCCCCCCCCCCCCTCCCGCGCCCGCCTCCTGCCGGGGGAAAGCCCAGGAGCCCTCGCCTGAGCCTGGCGGGCGTGCGCGAGCCGATTGGGGCGGCAGTGGAGTGGGGGTACCTCGCGGGGCAGCCCACTGCATCCAGCCGCGAAGCCCCCCAGGCCGGGGCGGGGGCTGTCCCAGTCCCCATGCTCCCAGGGGCCCTGTGGGGGCCGGCACCCCCTCGGTGATGCGTTAGTGGAGGCCCCTGTGGCTTCTTGGAGCTCCTCGTGGGGTGGGACAGGGTGGGGGGCTGCTCTTGGACTCCCTGGATGAACCCAGACCTCTCTCCAGCGGCCGAGGGAGGGTCTCTGCTCACACGGGAGGTCCAAGCCGGCCCCAGGCCTTGTCTCAAAGCCCCCTACCCGAGGCTCAGAAATGGGCCCCTCTCCTCTTCCTCCCCTGAGGCCCTCCCTGGACCCCTGAAGCGCAGGGTTGCAGGTGGGCGGAGGTCTCCGTGGCCCCCATCTAACGCAGGGGCCTGAGCCGGTGGGTGGGGGTGGGGAGTGAGTTCTGCCCGTGAGCGCTGTGGCCCCAGGCATGCAGTCCGTGCCCAGGGACAGCAGCTGCAGCCCCCGCTGAAGGACTGGTGCCCGAGGCCGGCGTCTGGACCAGGCTGGTGCCTGTGCCCACCTCCCCGCGGGACCCCCGCCCACAGATACCCGAGTGCCTCTCACCCAGGGCACCCGGGCTCCCTACCCCTCCGAGGTCTGGGGTCTTGCAAGTGGAGACCCAAACCCATCCCGGCCCCCACTTCCTCTGGAAGCCGCCTGCCCAGCCCCAGCCAGAGCCAGCGCCTCTCTCTGCTCAGAACCAAGCAGCCCGCCCCACGCGTGGCAGAACAGCCAAGAGTGGACCTTCACGGGCCTTATTTTATACATGGTGATGCTTTTAATGCAGCCAAAAATGGTATCTGCTTTTCTCAGAGCCCTAACCAATACAGGATGCAGTGACCAAGTCATTCCGTAAAACGCCTGGGCTCTCTAAGGGGCCAGAAGAGCGTGGGGCCCCTCGGGGAGCGGCGGAGGCCCGCGTGGAGCAGGGCGGGGTGGGCGTGCGGCCCCAGTTCGGCGAGCAGGAGACCCAGGGCCGCTCCACAGCCGCATCAGGCAAGGGGGCATCTGCGTGCCTGGGAGATTCTGCAGGCTTCCCAGGTGGAGACGGACACGTGCAGGGGACCAGGCGACTCTCCCTTTGCACCTGCCCCTGCCAGGGACAGCCGGGTGGCCCTGGGGCACACCCAGCCCCTCTTCCCGCCAGCAGAGGAGGCGTGACACTGCCGAGACCAGTCCTTGGGTCCCCGTGCTCCTGGGCACTCAGCCCAGGTTCCATCCTGCTGCCTGGGGTGCGGGTGGGGGTGGGGCGCCGGCCTCCAGCGGCCGGCCCCAGCCCCCTCCCTCCGCCAGGCTGGCGCCCAGGGCCCGGGGTCATTGCCGATTCCGGCTGCCCAGCTTCCTGCGGTCCTTATTCTGGCTGCGTTGAGGGTCTTCCATCTTGTGGACACGGAAACACTCCTTGAGGTTCTGGGACCGGATCTTGGGGTTCAGGATCTCCTCGGTCGTGGAGCTGGGGAACCAGCCTCTCTCCTGGTCGTGCAGCCGCTCACCAAAGATCCAGCCTGCGTCAGAGCGGGGAGGGGGTCACGGGGTGCATCAGGCCCCCTCTCCAGGCAGCCGCCCTGCTGGGAGGCACATGGGGGCGGCGGCAGGGGGTGGGCAGTGTGCAGGCAGGACGTGTCCTCGGCCAGGTGGCCGTGCAGGCTCCGGAACCCATTCTGGAGACAGCAATCCCAGGCTGCCTCGTACAAGCCAAGGGCCAGCCCCAAACCTAGAGGCATCCCCAGGCCAGTATGGTGGGAGCTGACCACGTGGCTCTCCGACCTGGCCTGAGGTCACCTGAGGTCACCCTCTGGGCAGCTCCACCTAGGATCTCTGCCTCCTCAGGGTCCGTGTGGTCAGCTGAGCTGGGTGACACTAGGAGTCGCAGGGTGCCCAGGCGTGTCCTCTCTCTCCTCTGCCACCCCTGAGACCCCCCCTCCTGTGGCAGGATCTGCAGCGGGTCCTGGCCTGGGGGGGCAGGGCCCGGCGTGCGCTCTGCAGGTCCCCTGTGGGTCGGGGGCAGGAGAGCCCCTGGGATTTGGGAACCGCGGGACTCAGCAGAGATGGCCTGGCCTGGGGATGGCCAGTGTGGGCTCCCAGCAGGGCCTGGCGGAGAGGAGGCGATGGTGGGGGGTATTCTGGTCGGGAGGAACTGGTGCAGACACAGAGCTGCCGCTTAAGGAAGGGGCTCGGTGTTAAATCCTGCAGGGGTTTTCTCCCTCACTGCCTCTCAAGGAAATAAACACTTTTTAAAAAGGAGGTGGGTGGGCCCGGTGCTGTGGCGTAGCGGGTTAAGGCCCGGTGCTGTGGCGTAGCGGGTTAAGCTGCCACTGCCTAGATGCGGAGTCCCGGCTGCTCCACTTCCAGTCCAGCTCTCTGCTGTGGCCTGGGAAAGCAGCAGAGGATGGCCCAGGTGCTTGGGCCCCTGCACCCGCGTGGGGGACCCGGAAGGAGTGCCTGGCTCCTGGCTTTGGCCTGGCCCAGCCCCAGCTGTTTTGGCCATTTGGGAGTGAACCAGTTTCTCTCTGTTTCTCCTTCTCTCTCTAACTCTGCCTTTCAAAAAATAAATAAATCTTAAAAAAGGGGGAGGGGGATGGGTGCTTGGCACAGTGGATAAGACGCTGTCGGGGATGCAACGCCCCCTACTGGAGTGCCTGGCTCAAGACCCAGCTCTCGGCCGACGCCAGCTTCCCGCGGCTGCACGTCCTGGGAGGCAGCAGGTGACAGTGAGCCACTGGGTCCCTGCTGTCCATGCAGGAGCCACTGAATCCCTGCCGTCCATGCGGGAGCCACTGGGTCCCTGCTGTCCATGCGGGAGCCACTGGGTCCCTGCCGTCCATGCGGGAGCCACTGGATCCCTGCCGTCCATGCGGGAGCCACTGGGTCCCTGCCGTCCCCGCGGGAGACCCAGACTGTTCCCAGCCGCCCCTCCCCCGCTTCAGCAGGGCCTGTTGCTGGTGTTTGGGGGGGGGGCGCCCTGTGTGCCTCTTGCTGCCTCTCACATGGATAAATAAATAAGCATTCACAACACTCCGCAGGGGCTGACAGTGCTGATTCATCCCGGGGTGGGCGGGACTGGGGGGAGGGGCTCCAGGGCTGGCGGTCAGCTTCCCTGGCAGCTCCTTGCTAACTCAGGGCCTGGGGTCAGGGTCAGGCTATTCTAGTTGCCCCCCCCCCCCCCGCACTGTGAAGGGTGGGCGGAGGCTCGGGCCCTGGGAGGGGAAGGGGTTAGGGAGCCAGCCTGCTGGGCTGGGCCCATTGCCAGGGCTGGAAGATTGAGTCCGTCAGCGCCAGGGGAGGAAGCAGGGGCCGCGCAGGGCTCCGTCTGGTTCTCAGGAAAGACCAGTGGGCCCGAGGGAGCTGGGCCAGGCCCCTCATCCGGGCCTCTCTGACCGCAGGGCAGGGGGAGGGTGTCTCACCGTCCTCCGTCTTGTCCAGGACGTTCAGGATGTCAGCGAGTTCCAGCGTCAGCTCGTCTGGCTGCTGGGCCACGTACGGGTGCACGCACTGGACCTGGGGGCAGTCTGCGGGGAGGGAGGGGTGTGGCGGTCCCAGCACCGCAGGCCCCGGCGCCCCACGCCCTGGGGGCAGGGCTGAGAGCACACAGCCCTGGAGACGGGGTCATCCGAGGGAGAGGAGCAAGCGACTCCAAAGAAAACCTCCCCAAACCCGCCAGGGGCTCCGGGCCCATGCACGGAGGGAGGGCCTCGCGGCCTGGGCCACACAGGAACACCGGGTGCCCGGCGCGGCAGCCTTGGGGTCTTCGGCAATCGTGGCGAAACTGCTGTTTCGCCTTGGCCGCAGCGCTCTGCCCGGTGCCCCAGCTCCCTGGGGGTGCCCACGGGCTCGGGGCAGGAGGGGTCCCCGGGTCCCCGTGCGTCAGCTGGAGCCGCCCCTCCCAGCTGGAGACTCACCCAGCAGCCGGGAGGTGAAGGAGACGAACTTGGTCCTCCGGTTCGGGGCCAGGGACGTCATCCAGCGCCTCATCTCGCTCCTGTGTGGGGACAGCATGGGTGCCGCAGCTGCCAGCGCCCGCACACCAAGGCCCGGGGCGGGGCCCTCAGCGAGGGCACTTCAAAAATCCGTGGGAAAATGGAATTAAAAACACTCGGCGGCACCAGTGCTATGTGTAGCTCCGCCTGCAGCGCCAGCATCCCCTACGGGCAGTGGTTCAAGCCCAGAGAACTGGCTGCTCCTCTTCTGATCCAGCTCCCTGCTATGGCCTGGGAGAGCAGCAGAAGATGGCCCGAGTGCTTGGGTCCCTGCACCCGCGTGGGAGACCTGGAGGAAGCTCCTGGCTCCTGGCTTTGGATCAGCCCAGCTCTGGCTGTTGCGACCATTTGGGGAGTGAACCATCAGATGGAAGACCTCTCTCTTTCTCCCTCTCTCTGTAACTCTGCCTCTCAAGTAAATTAATAAGTTAAAAAAACACTTTAAACTCGTGCCTGGTTTTTCATAATATGCATTTTCTACCAACTTCTTGAAGGTCCCTTGTATACCTGGATCTCCCAAATAAATTCATCTCCTAATTCCATTTTCCACAGAGAGTGGCAGAGGGGGGCTCTCTCCACAGGTCCCCCCAGTTAACCTGTAAAAACTCATTGCAGGGCCAGTCCCAGCGCAGCCGTGCTCTCTGGGACGCGGCACAGGGGGCCCTGCTGAGGTCACCCATCCCCGGCCCCGTGGACCAGAGCCTGAGTGAGCCAGGTGGGAGGGGCCCTGGGCTGCCCTGTGGCTCCCCACAGCTGTCCCTGTCCCCTGGGGCGCAGGGTGGGGTCCCGTGCGGCCAGGGACACATGCACACCCGCACACGTGG